ATATATATATATATATATATATATATATAGGTAGGTTCAATTTTTAATGAACAATTATTGTGTGTTCGTAGGAACCAATTAGAATTAAAGAAAATTAATTCATTATTAAATAATATAAAGGGAATAGTTGTAATCTTGCTATAATTAGTTTTGGTATGAAAAATAAAATCAATTAATATCCCTTAAAATTAGGATATCTGTTTCATAACCCTAACATAACACAATCGGACGAGCGTAACCTACCGTACTACACTTAACGACTTCCACTCTCCTCATTCATGATGCATCGACTAGCAGTAACGAGCACCGTGCCAAAATACCGGATTATGCCTTGCCTCCACCTAATGTCAATCACTTTCAAACGATTTCTTTCATCTTCTTCATACGCAATCTCTATTTCACACACGGCTGTTCATTCCAATCGATGCAATGTAAGGAAAAAGATGGTGAAATCACATGTCGTTCAATCCAATCTTCACTCAAGTTTCTATGACGTTCATTCCTTCGTCTTCTTCTAAGTAGGTAATTCCTTTTTTTTTTTTTTGCAGTTATCTTTAATTTCTGATTTTGCTTTGCTGTTTACAACTAGGTCTAAAGTCTCTTCTTTTTGGAATTCAGTTTGATGTGTTGGTAGGATTTAAAACTATCCAGGGTTTTCATTAATTTTATTTTTTTTGGTAAATTTGTAAAGTGACCTAACTTTTGATAATATTTAAATAAATTTGATTAGTTCACTTTGAAAGGGTAAATCATACTAGCCTGTTTGATTATTTTTGTATGAAGAGTTGATTTTTTGGTTTTGAACAATTCAACGAAGCAAATTTTTTTTTATCCATTTTGAGATTGTGGGCCATTTTGAGATTTAAAGGTCAAAATTTGACCATAGTTTTAAAACCGGTATTTATTCTTGCATCTCATGATATATCTATTTGACTTCCATAGCATGTTCTCTTTTTCAATAATTTGATCGTTCTTTTTTATATATAAAAATTATGACAAAAACTTGATTCCTTTTTGTGGAGATTTTTAATTTTCGAATCCATGGTTTTGGGTGATGTTTATCAATTTTACTTCGGTTTTCAAAAAGATTTTGATCAATTAGATGAGTGGTCATAGTATTTTGATATTCTGAAAATTGATAAGTCATTCATTTTTTAGTTGAAAATCCTCAATAAAATTATCATTTGTTTATTTTGAGTTGGAATTTCAATTTTGGAATAGGGTGTATGAGAATTTTGGAATAAGGTGTGTGAAAATGGTTTCACGGAATGAATTTGCAAGTTTGGAATCACGGGTGATGAAGATTGGGACTACATCATTAATATATTCTTTCAAAATGTATTAATGCTTCAGTATATTCTTCAAGAATGTATCGATATATTCTTTTAGAATAGATCAAATTGTAATACTCTTTACATCATATATAGTTGAAGAATGACATTATTATTCAAGAATGTCATTTAAATATCAATGTATCTTTTTTATGTTTACGTATGTTACTTTAGGAATGTTTTTTTGTATTTCATTCTTCATGAATGCATAATAGAAATCACTAATCTTTTTATGAGTTTTCAGTCTTTTAATGTAGAGTTGTTCATAGAATATAATTATTTGATATGTTATCAGTTTAAAGAATGTTTGTCTATTACATTATACCAATAATGGATTTTTTTAATAAGGAAATTTTGATTTCATATTCATAAGCATATTCTTTAAGAATGCACGTCATACTCATAAACAAAATATATTCTATTAGAGTATCCGAAATTAAGAAACTTAAGTTAAAAAAATTAGATTTTTTAAATTAAAAGAATTAATTATCCCTTAAAATCCGAATTTTTCCTTTTATAAATTTCGTTTGATTGACTAAAATACCCTTATGATGAAATTTGTGTGATTATATGATACATGTTATTCCATTATAATATCATAAACCCTCGTATAATAGTCATTCATTTTTTTCATTAATTGGTTCATAATCGTGTTTACGACCGCACAATATACGTCATTCATATTATAACCTTACTATATATATATATATATATATATATATATATATATATATATATATATATATATATATATATATATATATTAATTATATATAAGAGGACATTTTTCAATTTTCAATATGACCTAAGATAAGTAATTTATCTTTAACAACATTAATTTTAAACAACCACAACTATTCAATTTACTTGATCCATATTACAACACTTTTAGTATAAATTTTTTAATATAATGTTAATTTAAGATTAGTTTTTAAATGCATTTAAATTCTTTATAATTTACCTAATAGAACTTAACATGCTTTTTCAAATGTGTTTAAATTCTCTATAATTTACCTACTGAAACTCAAACATGAATACAAATTATGCAAAACAATATGGTGATTTGGACTTGAACCCATTGAAATCATTATTCTAAAACAAGAACTTAACATGCTTTTTTAAGCGTGTTTAAATTCTCTATAATTTACCTACCAGAACTCAAAATGAAAACAAATTATGCAAAACAATATGGTGATTTGGACTTGAACCCATTGAAATCATTATTCTAAAACAATAAAGATGTTAACAAAGACTCTACCTAATACACTATGAACCATAAATCTAATACAAAACAAAAAAGTTATTTTCCCCTCATCTCATACTAGAGTCCTCAAATAGACACCAATACTATCAATATAAGCAACCATACGACCATAAAATCCAGCGAAAGAACAACCATAAAATGATACTGCGAAAAACTCTCCTCTTTTTTTACCGAAAGATGCATGAGTTTTTTTGTTTGTCACAAATGATATTGACGTTATTACTCTGTATTCAGGACAATATCCCGTTGATATACCAATTGTTCCGTTAATAGAATTTATTTCCTCATTGCAATCAAATAATACCTATGCAAAAAGTAACAAACAACGTATAAAGCCCGTCACAAAATTATAGAAAAAGGGAGAAAATTAGAAAATGAATAGACGATTATGTATGATATAGTTTGTTATTCATGATAAAAAAAATATATGTCTCTTGATAAACATGCATTTCCAAAAATTCGAATAATTTTTTTTAACAATTACGTATATTATGTTGATTTGTTTAAGTTATGAAATGTTTACCTCAGAATATTCTTAATCAATAACTCATTTTCCTAACAAAAAGAGGAGATGAAAGTAAGCCAAAAGACCAATTGACAAAAGTGCTTCATTTTATAGTGTGCCATAAACACATGATAACAATCTGAATTTTTATCATTAATAAGCTCAAGAACAATCTACATGATAACAATCTGAATTTTTATCATTAATAAGCTCAAGAACAATCTAAATACGAATGTAAGTCAAAAAATAAATGGAAAATAAGTAACCAAGAGAAACCTTATAAATAGCAGAATCATGTCAAAATGCTTCATGGTTATGAACCAGTAAACCAAGTAAATCTTCCGACCATTAAAAAAACAATCACGAATTTAATCAACAAAAGTGGTATTCATAAAAGACAAAACCAGATTATGCAAAAAAGTTTCATTAAAAAGGAAAAAAGAGGAACAAAGAATGGACAAATGTGATTCAAACTGAATTTGATTTTTAGGGTTTCAGAAGCGTTTTCTACTATTGATTTCTTAAAATTTCTTCACTTTTCTTCTTGTTTCTGCAGGCTTCTTGAGTTCCCTTATGATTTCTTACTACAAAACTAAATCTTGAAGAGGATTAGGGTTTAAGATAGATAAATGAAGAATACAACTGAAAAGGAAACCGTTTAGGGATTTTCGATGTTTAAATTACGACTGAGAATTTGGGAGAGTTTGAATTTTGATTTTGATTTTATGGAGAAGAGGAAACATCGGCTAAGGATCAGCAGTAAAGTGAATTAGGAAGAATGCGATATGCGAAGATGAAGCGAACCATGCTTATCGTAACATAAGGGCAATATTGGTATTTCACTTTAAAAATTTGAGCGGGAATAATCGATGGCAGAGGGCTTAAAGAATGCCATGTGGCAATGAAATCAAAACTGCAAAACTAAATCTTGAAGAAGATTAGGGTTTAAGGGGGAACATCAGTCATATAAAATCAAAACTGTCTAATTTCTATTATACTTGTTGGATTACAGTCCAACTGATTGATTGTTATATCCTGATTCATGATGGTGGTCGTGGTGCTCGTAGTGGAGGATGATGTAATGGCTTTAAAGGGAATTGGATAGTATAACTTTACCAAAGCAAGACTTTTAAAACTTGGTACCCTTTAAGAAGAACTTTTATCTCTACCTAAGTCTATACCTTGAGAAATTGCTCTATGTACATGACAATGTACTGAAAAGGGGTTAGAATAGTTGTTTATGGCAAAAGGATTTTAGTATTAAAGTGTATTTTGGTCAATTATCTTTTTATAAATTAATAATGATTATAAAGTATAAAAACTGATTAAAAAACTTTAAAAAAATGTTTAAAAACTGAATTTAGATATTGTAAGAGTTTATAAAGATAAATATGATATTTAGATTTTAAGTTGGATAAATATGATATTTTAAAGGTTAACAAATACATATATGAAATTGTCCTTTATATGAATATCTATGTATCTCTTATATAAGACACATTTTTCAATTTTCAATATAAGCTAACATAAATAATTTATCTTTAACCACATTAATTTTAAACAACCACAACTATTCAATTTACTTGATACATATTACAAGACTTGTAACTAATATAACAATTTTAATATAATGTTAATTTAAGCATAGTTTTTAAATGCATGTAAATTCTTTATAATTTACCTAATAGAACTTAACATGCTTTTTTAAACGTGTTTAATTTCTCTATAATTTACCTACTAGAACTCAACATGAAAACAAATTATACAAAATAACATGGTGATTTGGACTTGAACCCATTGAAATCATGATTATAATAAAATAAAAATGTTAACAAAGACTCCGACCTAACACACTATGAACCATAAATCTAATACAAAAAAAACATATTTTCCCCTCATCTCATACTAGAGTCTTCAAATAGACACCGATACTATCAATATAAGCACCCATACGACCATAAAATCCAGCGAAAGAACAACCATCAAATGATACTGCAAAAAGCTCCCCTCTTTTTTTACCGAAAGGTCCATGGGTTTTTTTGTTTGTCACAAATGATATTGACGTTATTACTCTGTAGTCAGGACAATATCCTGTTGATATACCAATTGTTCCGTTGATAGAATTTATTTCCTCGTCGCAATCAAATAATACCTATGCAAAAAGTAACAAACAACGTATAAAGCCCGTCACAAAATTATAGAAAAAGGGAGAAAATCAGAAAATGAATAGAAGATTATGTATGATCTAGTTTGTTATTCATGATAAAAATGTCTCTTGATAAACATGCATTTCTAGAAATTCGAATAAATTTTTTAACAATTACCTATGTTATGTTGATTTGTTTAAGTTATGAAATGTTTACCTCAGAAGATAACGTTAGTCCTTTATCCCGAACATAATCCTCCCAATCATGACCAACCCTTTTAGAAGTGTGTGTTAAGCGTCTAAATTGTGTGGTGAAGAAGAAAGAGACTACACTATCGTTATGCTCAATGGTTATCTTCTTCAAATGATGGTTTTTCTCAAGTTGGAATGACCAAACATTTTTCGGACCTGCAGGTTGAGGATTTCCCCATGTTCCAACACTGACGACTTCCTTATTAGGTTTAACATATATACCAATGCTGTCAATGTAATAACCAGCAAGCCCATAAAACCCAACTAATAGGCCTTTGTCCCATGGTATAGAGAAAACATTTTCAGTTGCATGACCAAAAGGTCCATGAGTCCTTTTGTTGGTCTTAAAGGATAATGACGAAATTATTTTAAAACCATCTCGAAAACCAATGGTTCCATTAATGCCAATTATTTTCTCATCACCTTCAAATATTACCTGATTAATAAGCCACCATGCACACAGATTATGTTACAAAGAGACATTGACTCGTGGAATTAAGATACGTACCTCGGAAACTGTTTCTCCTCGGGCCAAACTACCACACTTGTTGGAATTGTGCAAAACACCTTTAGATTCACTAGTGAACATAAGAGAGTATATTCCATCACCATGGACAATAGTTATCTTCACCAGGTTATGGTCTTTCTCAAGTTCAAAAGACCAGTTATTTTGAGGATCTCCACTTGTTCTTCCCCAAGTTCCTACCTTAATAAATGCTTTGAGAGTCTTTCTTACGGAACTTACTTGAAGCTCCAATGCCTTCTCAAGGTTTTCAACAATCCAGCCCATTGTTGGGCGTTCGCTTCGATTTTCTCTCAAGCATTCATATGCAACCATTGAGAACTGGTTGAACGAAGCTAATTTCATTTGATTCATGAGATTGGGATCGATGATCTCGTTTAATTTGTTGTCTTCACAATACGTTTGGGCCAGCGAAGAAAGGAACCGACGTTCATCTTGATATCTTTCATTAAAACACAACCTTCCACACAAGATTTCAAATAGCACTACACTAAACGAATACACGTCAGACTCCTTTGTTAGAATTCCTGTTCTTACATATTGTGGATCAACATAGCCTAAGGTGCCACAAGCACTGGTTACAAGAAAAGTGAACTCAACATTTGAAGGGCCAATTTTTGACAATCCAAAATCTGAGATTTTCGCTTCCCAATTCTCATTTAGGAGGATGTTGGAGCTCTTTATATCGCGGTGAAGAACTCTATGTTGGGGTCCCACATCATTATGAAGGTAATTAAAGCCACGGGCTGCAGCAAGGCTTATTTGGAGACGTTGGATCCAGGAGAGGTTAGAGTCACTTAGATATCTGTCTAGGCTTCCATGTTTTGCATGCTCATATACGAGGATATTTTCTCTACCCTCATCAGAAAAGCCAATAAGAGAAATGAGGTTTTTGTGTTTATAGCAGGAAAGCATCTGAATTTCCATCAAGAACTCTCGGTCTCCTTGTCCCAATGTTCGGTCCAATCTCTTTACAGCAACGGTGATGGGCTGACCAGATAGGGTGAGTTGGCCTATGTAGACTTTCCCAAATCCACCTCTTGCAATGAAATTATCATCCCCAAAGTTATTGGTGGCCAACTTTATGTCTTCAAGTGGAATTTTTAAGTGTTGTACACCTTCCATGAGAGGCATTGTAACTGAAATGCGACTAAACTGTCTTCAACCTCTGTCATTTAAAGACCAAATGATTTCAACACAAAGTGGCAAATCTGATTTAAGCAACAAATGATTTCAGCACAAAGAGAATTAAAATAATGAAGGTTCAAATGGTTTGATTGCTTCTACCGTCGATATAGATTAAATCTGTGAAGCAATATATGTCGTACATATTGTCATCAACATAACAAATCATCTACGAATCAATCAACTACATCCAAATGCCAATCGTACCTGTAAACAATGTGAAAGAAGGGAGAGGCAGAAGCTGCTGGAGGCCGGAGGAGGAGGCTTCCTCGTCGACTAGAGACCGGAGGTGGAGGTGGAGTCAGTGACTTAGTGTAGATGTTCGTCGTGGAGGCGGTTGGTGACCTAGAATCTTGAGGAAAGAGAGAGTATCAGATCTGATACCATGATACTATGTTTATGTTTGTGATATAATTATATTATATTATACTGTATAATAAAACGCAAAGGATCTATAAACAGTACCGGTTGCCGGTTATCCTTTTGCACACGTGTAGGTAGCAGTTTGACCATATTTCTATTTGTTACCCAGAAGGATCACCACCTCTCTCCTGTACATCGTTTCCCTACTCTTACACCGTTGACCGTTCGTATTCACCCTTCCTTTACTCGCTCACTCTGGAAGCATCCAGATATCCGGCCAGCCACCATCGCAGCCTCCCTACATCTGCCTACCCTTCCGCCTCCGACATCTACCTAGCTCCTATTCAGTAGGTTTCCTTCCCTTTATTCCGTATGTGATTTGGATTATATATTGGGGTAGACTTTCAAGCTCCTACGACTATGTGTTTTCTCTCTGTAAATATTTGGGTTATTTGCTTTATGACTTTTGCTTTTTTTTTTTTTTTTTTTTTTTTTTTTTTTTTTTTTTTTCCCTTTTACCTAATCTCTATTGAAAAAGTAAGCTAAACTTAGGATTCTTTATGTTGTTTATTGTTTCTTTAGTGACTAGATTATGTGGCAATCATAATTAATGTGAGAGAGAAAGAAGAACCCGAAGGATGCCGTAATCTTGTTCCTTTGTGTTATGTGTTCTCCAACATGGTTAGAGAAAAAGAAACACAAAGGGGGTATCGGTGAGTGCATTGCGTGTCTGTATTCTAATTCCTCCGTAAGCAAAATGCAAGCATGAAAATGTTGCCTTAGGTGCATGTGTTCTTGTGGTGTTGCTTGATCGAATGTGATGGGGAGAGAGAGAGAGAAACACAGAGAGAACTAGGAAGAAGTCGGGTCTTAATTAAGAGTTTGATTTCGCTTTGTTATATACAAAAGATCGAGGCTGCATGTGTGTATCACAGATGATGTCAAAAGTGAATAGTGAATTAAAGGTGGTGTCATTAGAGTGCAATACAAAGTACAAGCATGTGGGTACGTTGTATATGGGTAAACCATGGACTGTTGGTTAATTTAATATTGTCAATAAATCACATGGCTTTCTATGTTGTCATCGAGAAGTGATCAACAAAAAAGAAAAAAAGGCATGGGCTGATTATTTTCAAAAGTATGAAAGTACTGCATAAAGTACTTATCTTATGGAAGAAAGTACAACACTAACCTAGTTTAAGTGGAGAAAGCTGCAACAAAAGAATATTAATAAGCAACTACTTGTGTTTAGAGACAGTGGCAAAAGGTAAGAACTAAGAAGGTTTGTGTTTTAGAAGACCGGAGAATGAAACCAAGTGAAAATATCGTGGTGGGATTGATGTTGTGTGTGGTGTTTTGACCAAGTGATAAGATCTTGGCAAAGATGATTGTTTGTTTGATTGATGAATGATACAAAGATGATTGTTCATATGGAATTTGCAGGTTTGAGCAAAAAAATCTAGGAGTGGTTCAAGTTTAGCTTAAGGAGGAATGTTGAAATAGGAAGCTAAACTTAGAATTCTTTATGTTGTTTATTAGTATTAGGTGTTATTTTAATGACATATTATGTGGTAGCCACATTTATTCGACAGTTAAGGTAGTTATGGTTATCTTAACCATAAAATAAAAGGGTGCGATGGTTAGGGCTGAAGAGTGACGATAGTTTAGATTATATATATATATATATATATATATATATATATATATATATATATATATATATATATATATATATATATATATATATAAACAGATGTAAATGTTGTTCTTGGTGTTTTAATATGAAATATTTACACGATATCAAACTAATACGATTTTACATTCTCCATCAAAGAGATGGAATTTATGCTCATTCACTATGTTAAAACATGATATGCTTTATTTCATTTGTTTGAAGGTTAATGTTTATAATCCTAAAATTTGATTGAAAAAAGATTAATGGTTCTTCTGTTGTTATTTGTCCTTTTGATTGTATTATATAATTTTAAAAAAGAAGCGTGACATGCTTCCATACAAGCTTAATGATGTTTACATCATATAGTATGAGAAGACCAACTTTAGAAATGAAAATTTAGAAAAGACAAAAATGTAAAAAAGGTCCCACTATTATGCATTTTTTTACGGAAAATATCCATACCATTAAACTTTTGGATTAACACTTATTTTAGGAAGTTTGCTTGCTCTTTTGGTCCATATCTAATATAAAACGACATATTTACCCTTTATATATTATTTTTCATTTTTTCTTATTTTCTTTTACTGTTTTATTATTATTAAAATATCTCTCTCTCTCTCTCTCTCTCTCTCTCTCTCTTTCTCTCCTCTCTCTCTCTCTCTCTCCAAGACCTATCACTTTCTACTCATGAAGGTAACCGATATCCTTCTTTTCTGGAAATAATCTATTGAGCAAAAAACATATATCTGATGTGTTTTATTCAAACAATCCTACATCTACATGCAACCCTGGTTTGGATTTATGTTTTCTCTATTAGACATACAACTATTGAACACAAATAAAAAACCCTAATATGCATCTAATACTCGAAATCAACAAAGATTAGATCACATTCCTTTGTTGCTATATAATAATAACAATCAATTCTTGAAGATCCTTTGCTCTTGATAACAAGTACCACAAGTGTAATACCTCTAATGACTTACAAACACACTAAGGAAAGAGGATGATTATGAGAGAGAGTCACTAGCTCCAAAATCGGCTCTTCTAAGGTTTTCACAAGGGGTTGGCTGAATTCAAGAGCCAAGGGCTGTATTTATACTTGATGCTAGCTAGGGTTTTAATGTGGAAACCCTAATTCCTTAGCTTAGGGCCTAAGCAAGTCCATGGACCCCTTCCTTGGGGCTTGGACGAAAATCTCTAGATCCTTCTAGGGATTTTCGGCCCTCCCTAACAAGGATGAACCAATGGCCCAAACCTCAACTATCAAATATTTACAAAACAACCACTGCACTTTCATTCTGTTCCTTCAATCCCAAAATTAATTCCAAATTAATTTCTTATTAAACATTTATTAATAATATGATTTCTAATCAATATATTATTCTTATGATATATTAATAAATCATATTTATGCACCAATTTATTATTCTTAATAATAAAATTAGCCTCTCTCTCTCTAATAGTCATCCTGTCTAGTTACCAGTGTGAAAGCAACTTAAAAGGACAATGCTACTATCAAATCAAGTACATACCAATTATAGTTATATATATATATATATATATATATATATATATATATATATATATACACACACACAGATGTAAATGTTGTTCTTGGTGTTTTAATATGAAATATTTACACGATATACAAACTAATAGGATTTAACATTCTCCATCAAAGAGACGGAATTTATGCTCATTCACTATGTTAAAACATGATATGCTTTATTTCATTTGTTTGAAGGTTTATGTTTATAATCTTAAAATTTGATTGAAAAAAGATTAAGGGTTCTTCTGTTGTTATTTGTCCTTTTGATTATATTATATAATTTTGAAAAAGAAGCGTGACATGCTTCCACACAAGCTTAATGATGTTTACATCATATAAAGAAGACCAACTTTATAAATGAAAATTTAGAAAAGACAAAAATGTAAAAAAGGTCCCACTATTATGCATTTTTTTACGGAAAATATCCATACCATTAAACTTTTGGATTAACACTTATTTTAGGAAGTTTGCTTGCTCTTTTGGTCCATATCTAATATAAAAAGACATATTTACCCTTTATATATTATTTTTCATTTTTTCTTATTTTCTTTTACTATTTTATTATTATTAAAATCTCTCTCTCTCTCTCTCTCTCTCTCTCTCTCCAAGACCTATCACTTTCTACGCATGAAGGTAACCGATATCCTTCTTTTCTGGAAATAATCTATTGAGCAAAAAACATATATCTGATGTGTTTTATTCAAACAATCCTACATCTGCATGCAACCCTAGTTTGGATTTATGTTTTCTCTATTAGACATACAACTATTGAACACAAATAAAAAACCCTAATATGCATCTAATAATCGAAATCAACAAAGATTAGATCACATACCTTTGTTTCTATATAGTAATAATAATCAATTCTTGCAGATCCTTTGCTCTTGAGAACAAGTACTACAAGTGTAGTACCTCTAATGACTCACAAACACACTAAGGCAGGATGATTATTATGAGAGAGAGGAGAGAGAGTGACTAGCTCCAAAATCGGCTCTTCTAGGGTTTTCACAAGGGGTTGGCCGAATTCAAGAGCCAAGGGCTCTATTTATATTTGAGGCTAGCTAGGGTTTTAATGTGGAAACCCTAATTCCTTAGCTTATGGCCTAAGCAAGTCCATGGACCCCTTCCTTAGGGCTTGGATGAAAATCTCTAGATCCTTCTAGGGATTTTCGGCCCTCCCTAACAAGGATGAACCAATGGCCCAAAACCTCAACTATCAAATATTTACAAAACAACCACTGCACTTTCATTCTGTTCCTTCAATCCCAAAATTAATTCCAAATTAATTTCTGATTAAACATTTATTAATAATATGATTTCTAATTAATATATTATTCTTATAATATATTAATAAATCAT